TTCTGAAGAAGTCGACCAAAAATTTCCTATAACAACGATGTTTGAATGAAGAAAAGTAAATGAAATATGTGAGCTAATGTGGAAGTTATTTTTTTTATCAAGCCTGATTATCACTGGAAAGTAAATAGTATATATCCTCGATTAATTTCTTCGAATTATTTTAAGATAATGAAAACGTTCAATTGAGTTAAGCTACCTTGTATAATTGCTGTCTGTAGGTTAATCGAGGAGGTGGTACATTCATTTTTCCAGATTTTTTGGGATTTTCTCTCCTCGTTTCTATAAAATAAAAATATGAATATAATTTCAATATACGTCTAGTGACAAATCAGATGATTTGCCCCAGAATGTCACTGCGTTTAAATAATTGTCCTATCAGAGAGCCTAAAAAAAAATTCACTAGCTTGTCAGAGATAACTTGTATTGAAAAAGGTTTGGAGAAGAGAAATAAAGATATACAGGGTGTCCCTAGACCAGTGGGACAGTTGAATATCTCCTGAACCAATAAGAATTTTCAAAATATTATGATTCTACATCATATCGCATTATGAGTGCTAACTTCAGGAATGACTATATTTTATATGAGGGGGCAAGAAAGGCTCACAAAATCGAACATCAATTTTTTCAAATGAAACACCCTGTATTTCCGAGATATAGGGTGTGGAAAATCGAGATTTTTCATTTTTGGGAATTTTTTGTGTCAAAACTATGCATTATTGGTCAAAACGGATTACATGTCAAATCTTAACTTTTGATTTACTATTTACTCGTATTTAATTTAAACAAATACAGGGTGGTGTAGAATTCTGACTGAAACTGAGAATTCTACACCACCCTGTATTTGTTTCAATTAAATAGAATTCTCAGTTTCAGTCAGAATTCTACACCACCCTGTATTTGTTTAAATTAAATACGAGTAAATAGTAAATCAAAAGTTGAGATATGGAAATGTGAGCCGTTTCGACCAATAATGAATAGTTTTGACACAAAAAATTTCCAAAAATGAAAAATCTCGATTTTCCACACCCTATATCTCGGAAATCATTCCCGCTAGACCCCAAGTGTGCTCGGTCGTTGAATTCAGCTCTTCAAGGAGAATATGAAAATGCAATGATATACAGGGTGTTCCATTTGAAAAAATTGATGTTCGATTTTGTGAGCCTTTCTTGCGCCCCTCGTATAAAATATAGTCATTCCTGAAGTTAGCACTCATAATGCGATATGATGTGAAATCCTAATATTCCGAAAATTCCTATTGGTTCAGGAGATATTCAACTGTCCCACTGGTCTAGGGACACCCTGTATATAGAAAACATATCAAAATTTCACTTAGCTTTGGACGTTTCGGGAACGAATCTGTTCCAGTTTTCAACATAAAAAATGGTTATTCGAATAGCAAATTCGTATTTGTCTTGAAACTTTTCAGTTCTCAGTGACAATTGGTGACGTTGGCAATCAAATGAGTTACAGGATGTTTTCATTAATTTATCTTGAATTTACCATTTTCCTTCTCAGATTTCAGTAGTGAATACCATGTTCTATCTATATCAACTGAACAGGAAGCAATGCTATTGTCCCCGTTCAGAAGAATGTAAGCAGGTTCCTTGATTTTTCTCTTCTGGTTGTTATCTTCGTTTCCAATGATTTTAATATTATTCCACTGCCATATTTTGTCCGCCTTCAGTAAGGATATGTTCAGCTAGTTTCGATTTATCGATGTGTCTTTTCTTTATATTGTACTCATTTTCCTTCGTCCTTACTAAAAGAGGTCTCTTGGTTTATCCTGTATAAAACTTTCCACTAACACAAGGTATACTGTAAATACAATTTCTTGACGATTGTTCTTCATTTTTCGGCTTTGACTTAGAATTGATCTCATTGTATTTTCAGATCGTATTCACTACTGAAATTCCAAAATGAAAATGGTAAATTCAAGATTAATTAAAAAAACATCCTGTAACATCACCAATTGTCACTGAGAACTGAAAATTTTCAAAACAAATACGAATTCGCCATACAAATATTCATTTTTTAGGTTGAAAATGGGAGCAGATTCGTTCCCAAAACGTCCAAAGCTAAGTGAAAATTTGATATTTTTTCTATATACCTTTATTTCTCTCCTCCAAACCTTTTTCAATACAAATTGTCACTGACAAGCTAGTGAATTTTTCTTTTAGGCTCTCTGATAGGAAAATTCTTTGAACGCAGTGACATTTTGGGGCAAATCACCTGATTTGTTCTTACTAAACGTATATTGAAATAATATTCATATTTTATTTTATAGAAACGAGGAGAGAAAATCCCAAAAAATCTGGAATAATGAATACCTTGTATGATTTCGAATATACGTGGATATACATAGAGTAGTTTCACCAATCAGAAATCCAGAATTATTTTCATTTTCATAGTAGCCAATTAATTTTGTTACATACACACAAAGCGCACAATTCGAACTTCAAAATCTTCAAGATTATACATCTCAAACTTCCTGCACAATTACAAATCGTGTCACTTTAACATAATAATCCACCCGCTTCGCGGTCAGACTATTTCAACTGTTAAACTGACACTCTTTGTAATTATGCAACAACTTATCATTGTATAATCCGAATATTTTGAAGTACTTATCGTATTACTACTGAGTATATCAAACGACAATAATTGATGAATTAATGAAAATAGGTTCTTCCTTCTGAATATGAATCCTTGTAATTAACTAAGCGGGTTTCATAAACAATAAACTAATGAACATGACTCAAGCCATTGCCTTGATGAAAAGAAGAATGAATTACCAAGGTCAATTATACGCTGCTTACTCCAAACCGATAATTCACAGGGTGTTCGATGAAAAAAAAAATGGAGAATGTCATAACTGTTTTTTATATCTCCTAAAGGACCTAAAGTGACCACGTTATCCTAAATAAATTATCTCTTACCCTGTCCTTTTCGTGCCTCAAAAATCACAGCAAATAAAGGGGCGTTTTCAGGAAAAGTGAGACAAAAGTGCATTTTTGAGAACTCAAAATTTGAAAAATAAATGTATTAGCAGTAAATTTCATTTCCTGATTACATAATCCAAAGAGGTTTTCTGTCAAACTATCTAATCGTCTGATATCATTTTCCGAAGATAAACTATAACCAAGTATTTTTTTATGTTCTGGTTCCCACGAAAAGGGATACCCTGTAATGTTCAGAGAACATCGTGAGAACCAAGGGAAATAAGGTAGGAATTAGTGTTCTATTTAAATTTCTGGAGGTTATATGCCTCGGGTAACACCTCCCTTGGCAATGTGTTCCAGAGCCTCGCTGTTCGTTGGATGAACGAGTCTTTGGAAAGAGATGTTCTGCAGGTCTCCAAAGTGACCACGAAGGGGTGCGAAGCCTCAACTCGACGTGTTAATCTCGCGGGGACTGCCAAGGGAGGTACAATTGTTGATATTTCATAAGAGCATCGTCCATGAAAATATCTATAAAATAGATCCAGATCGCCAACTTTTCTACGGTGTTCCAGAGAAGTGAGTGAGTTTGTGAGCGAGGCATCACCCACGAGACGAATTGCCCTTTTTTGGACAGAATCCAACAGTTTCAGGGTATGTTTGGGTGCTGCACTCCAAATATGGGAACAGTATTCCAGGACAGGTCGGATCTGTGCCTTTAGATCATAAGCAGCTGACTGGAAGTGAAATAGCTCCTGGCCCGAAATAGAAAACCCAAGTTTTTGGGATGCACTTTTAGCAATTGATCTCACGTGATTTTCCCAAGAAAAGTTATTGCTGATAGTATCAAGCATCGAAATGGATGTCTTCAAAGTTATGGTTACTCCTGACAAGCTTATGTTGGGCACAGTGAGATCGGTTTTTCTAGAGAAAAGGCATGCTTGTGTTTTGTTTGCATTGAAATCTACCAAGTATGATTCCCATTTGAAAATTTTCCTTGCAAAATTAATAGTTATTTATTATACAAGGGAAAAAAGTAGTAGATTTTAGCTCCAGGTTGTGTTGCCGTGAGCTAAAATCTAATATTTTTCCAGTGTATAATACACTATTTTCTTCTGTGACAGAAGAAAGGACGAATCAATATTGAGAAAATATTACATTATTTTGAAATCTGAAAATTATATCGACGTGAAATTTTAAGTTTTCAACAGTAGAGACACCTGCGTTGTAGGCATCTTTATCATTCTTTTGAAGTAATCAAATAATTATCTGCTGTCACTTCTGTCAGTCTAATTCTGTGATTTGATTTCAAAAAACGGCGAATTTAGTGGCTGTTTAGTAAAAGTAACCGCGAAGTCGAATGGAAGATAAAAGGACTTGCAGTTCTTTCTCGGAGACGGTATTATTGACTTATTTTTCGGAACTATAGCACAACAAAAGTCATCAACAGTGTGTATATATATACAGTATGATGCAAATGTATGGAATAAATTCATTTCAAAACAAGACGACTTTCGAAAAAAAAACAAAAACTAGAGTTTAGAACTTTTTTTTCCACGTATTTTTTTAACTAGACGATCCTTCGATGTTCAATCCTCAGTAGCAGACCTCTGCAAGATTCAATTAATCACATGATAATCCATTTTAATTTCAATCTTCTTATGCAACATTTTGACTGTTGAATAGACAATCGGTAGACCTTTCAATCAAGGTGTCACATGACCCCTATTTGTATTTGAAAAAATCGTCCATTACGTCTTTACTTCAACACCGGTGACGTAACATCTCTCATATGAATATCATGAGATGAGGCTTCAGAAATTAAAACTCACGTGTTTTTGGAATTTTTTCAAATGTCGCCCATTTCTGAAATAATGAATTTATTCCATACATTTGCATCATACTGTATATGTGATATATATCCGGGAAAAAAGTACTCACTTCTTTCCCACGGGAAAAAAGTAATTTATGAAAAGTGACATTTTATAATCTGCCAACAGAGATGGAATACCAAACTTTTTTCCCGTCACAGAAAAAAAAAACATTATCTCCCCAACAACCTACCATCTTTGATGAGGTCATCGAGGTCCATCAAATTCTCCAAGTTGTCCAAGATCTGCGAGGCGATCTCCGCTTTCGTTTCGCACGCCGACAAGTCCACATCGAACTTGACGTCGTAGTGCTCGAAGGACGTCGCCTGGTAGAGCGTCGCGACGTCGAAGAGCGACGCCTCATCGCAGGAGAGCGGCGAGGCGGGCTCCTCCTTCCACATGATCGGCACTGAGCTCATTGCTGAGACGCTGAGCTCTGATCGATGACGAGGGGAGAGAAGAGGAAAGATTTTTTGCGTAGGGTGATGCTGAAGGGCGGGCCGGAAGGGCTAGTTGAAGGGCGGCCATGGCGGCGCTGAAAAGAGACAGAACGTAATTTTTGTTCAGCACTGATTTAAAAATAAATTTAAAGTAAAAAAAAGTAATAATAGTGGATTGTTTTATTAGGATAAAAAGTGACACTTTGTTTGACCAATGACGGCTAAATATCTGGACTGTCTGACGGGTTATACATGACTGTTCATTCAGCGAAAATCGCCAAATCGCCCTGTAATGAAATTTCGAAGGGACGGCATGTGACGTCATTTATTTCCTGTGTCAAATGAGCTATAGGTCGCGTGCACAATGACCGACCCTGGAGGCAAAATATTTAAACACAAACCTCATTCTTCTGTGAATTATTGAAACACAACCTCACTTTTTTATTTGGTTACAGAAGAATCAAAGGATTAAAATAGTTTTTCACAATATTTTGGCATACGAATCGTGTTTTTTTGCGCTATTCATTTATTCGAGCATGCCTTCGCATTGTGCTGTTGTACAATGCACAAAAAATGGAGCAAGAGACTAAAGAATATGATTTTTCAGGTAAATAGTAATCTCACATAGTTATCATTATGAAATGTTGTCATTCCTTATTAAAATTCCTTCTGCCTTCTGCCACTTATGCAATACAAGCTAATACTGCTAATAGATTGAAAATGTCTACAACACACACGATCGTCAGCATGTCAGACCAGTCCTCCGGATTGCTTGCATGAATCATCTTACATGAATCCAATCTTCTTGCATTGTTTCAGAAATTTCAGGTGTATTTCTATTAGCTCCTATCGCAGAAGGAATTCCGATGAGAAATCAGAGAAATTACCAAATTTCAAAAATGAAAACTATATGTGAGTGAGACTATAGTAGGTACTTACTTTTAAATCATATTGTACCAACCGGATTACTTCGTCTTCCGCTGCAGTTTTTGTGCATTTCACAACAGCATAATGTGATGGCATGAGCGAATTGATGAATAGCGGAAAAATACGATTCGTATGCCAAAATAATTGTGAAAAACTATTTCGATCACTTGTGAACAAATAAGAAAAGTGTCAATGTTTTGCCTCCAGCGTCGGTTATCTGACAGTTCTTGCACGCAACCCATTCAACATTGCTTATTCGTTGACAAATTTTCTCACTGTCAGCCTGTCACTCATTGTCATTCGAGATTGGAGAGCTTTGCTCGAGTTTCGAGATACCAAGTAAAAATGTGAAAAGGGCAACAAAATGAAGTGGTTAGGAGTGTTCATGCCAAATAACGCTATTATATGCATAAATAATAATGCCATTCAAGTGGAAATCATCTTCGTCATTTCGTGAATAGGCAAGGACATGTTCAATAACTAAATCCTGATGAGTCGCCATATGTAGTGCTATTGATCATCACTCTATAGTGTCTTCCAAAATCATTGACACAAACTTCAACACCAGAATCAACACCAGTGTTCTAATGGTGGATTCGAGGCTGAAATTGAAAATCATCAGAAAAGTGTACATGAAAAATCATATTTTTACCAATGCCTTCCAAAATGAAATTCGACCATTCTTGCTGTGGAGTTCATCACTGGGTATGAGATTTCCTAGAAGAAAACCCGATATTCGATACGATTATTCATACATTTCATTTCATACGCTAGAAGGCTGTAAATACATGATGAAGACACAACTAGCAAACCTGAATAAATAAACAACCAGAACTAAATACAAAGAAGAATGCTTGATTGAATGAAAATTCGAAAATATAAAGGAATTTATCGATATTTAACAGAACACATCAGGGACCTGACAGTGACACAGTTTTGACACTTGATAATAATAATAATTCAATATAACCTATGTTATTGGAAAACAACCGAATAGGTCGCGTGCAAGAACTGTCAGATGACCGACCCTGGAGGCAAAACATATTTGTTTACAAGTGATCGAAATTGTTTTCCACAATTATTTTGGCATATGAATCGTATTTTTCCGCTATTCATCAATTCGCTAATGCCATCACATTGTGATTGTGCTGTTGTAAAATGCACAAAAACTGCAGCGGAAGATGGAGAAATCCGGATGGTACATTATGATTCAAAAGTAAGTACCTACTATAGTCACTCACATAGTTTTCATTTTTGAAATTTGGTTATTTCTCTGATTTCTCATCGGAGTTCCTTCTGCAATAGGATCAGCTAATAGAAATATACCTGAAATTTCTAGAATAATGCAAGAAGATCGGATCATGCAATAAATCGGTAGGACTGGTTTGACATGCTGACGATCGTGTGTGTTGTAGACATTTTCAATCTATTAGCAGCATTAGCTTGTATTGCAGAAGTGGCAGAAGGCAGAAGGAATTTTAATAAGGAATGACAACATTTCATAATGCTAACTATGTGAGATTACTATTTACCTGAAAAATCGCAAAAATTCCTGAAAATTGAAAAAATCGCAAAAATGACTGAAAATTTTGTAAATTGCAAAAATAGCAAAAATGAAAATTCCTGAAAATTGCAAAAATGCCTGAAAATTGAAAATTTCACAAATATTCGAAAATTGCAGAATTCGCAAAAATGCCTGAAAATTGCAAAAATTCCTGAAAATTAGAAAAATTTCTGAAAATTGCAAAAATCGCAAAAATTCCTGAAAATTGCAAAAATCGCAAAAAATGCGAAATTCCTGCAAATTGCAAAAATCGCAAAAATGCCTGAAATTTGCAAAAATCGCAAAATTGACTGAAAATTGCAAAAATCGCAAAAATTCCTGAAACTTGCAGAAATCGCAAAAATTCATGAATATTGCAAAAATTTCTGAAAATTCGTGAAAATTGCAAAAATCGTAAAAATGCCTGAGAATTAGAAAAATTTCAGAAAATTGCAAAAATCGCAAAAATTCCAGAAGATTGTGAAAATTGCAAAATTCCTGAAAATTCCCGAAAATTGCAAAAATCGCAAAAATGCCTGAAAATTGCAAAAATCGCAAAAATTCCTGAAAATTGCAAAAATCGCAAAAATTCCTGAAAATTGCAAAAATCGCAAAAATGCCTGAAAATTAGAAAAATTTCTGAAAATTGCAAAAATGCCTGAAAATTGCAAAAATCGCAAAAATTCCTGAAAAGTGCAAAAATTGCAAAAATTCCTGAAAATTGCAAAAATCGCAAAAATTCCTGAAAATTGCATAAATCGCAAAAATTTCCTGAAAATTGCAAAAATCGCAAAAATTCCTGAAAATTGCAAAAATCGCAAAAATTCCTGAAAATTGCAAAAATCGCAAAAATTCCTGAAAATTGCAAAAATCGCAAAAATGCCTGAAAATTGAAAAAAATCGCAAAAATTCCTGAAAATTGCAAAAATCGCAAAAATTCCTGAAAATTGAAAAAATCGCAAAAAATCATGAAAATTGCAAAAATCGCAAAAATGCCTGAAAATTGAAAAAATCGCAAAAATGCTTGAAAATTGCAAAAATCGCAAAAATTCCTGAAAATTGCAAAAATCGCAAAAATTCCTGAAAATTGCAAAAATCGCAAAAATTCCTGAAAATTGCAAAATTCGCAAAAATTCCTGAAAATTGCAAAAATCGCAAAAATTCCTGAAAATTGCATAAATCGCAAAAATTTCCTGAAAATTGCAAAAATCGCAAAAATTTCCTGGAAATTGCAAAAATCGCAAAAATTCCTGAAAATTGAAAAAATCGCAAAATTCCTGAAAATTGAAAAAATCGCAAAAATGCCTGAAAATTGCTAAAATCGCAAAAATGCTTGAAAATTGCAAAAATCGCAAAAATTGCTGAAAATTGCAAAAATCGCAAAAATTCCTGAAAATTGCAAAAATCGCAAAAATGCCTGAAAATTGCAAAAATCGCAAAAAATCATGAAAATTAATTGCAAAAACCGCAAAAATGCCTGAAAATTGTAAAAATCGCAAAAAATCATGAAAATTGCAAAAATCGCAAAAATTCCTGAAAATTGCAAAATTCGCAAAAATTTCCTGAAAATTGCAAAAATCGCAAAAATTCCTGAAAATTGCAAAAATCGCAAAAATTCCTGAAAATTGCAAAAATCGCAAAAATTCCTGAAAATTGCAAAAATCGCAAAAATTCCTGAAAATTGCAAAATTCGCAAAAATTCCTGAAAATTGCATAAATCGCAAAAATTCCTGAAAATTGCAAAATTCGCAAAAATGCCTGAAAATTGCAAAAATCGCAAAAATTCCTGAAAATTGCATAAATCGCAAAAATTTCCTGAAAATTGCAAAAATCGCAAAAAATTTCCTGGAAATTGCAAAAATCGCAAAAATTCCTGAAAATTGAAAAAATCGCAAAAATTCCTGAAAATTGAAAAAATCGCAAAAATGCCTGAAAATTGCTAAAATCGCAAAAATGCTTGAAAATTGCAAAAATCGCAAAAATTGCTGAAAATTGCAAAAATCGCAAAAATTCCTGAAAATTGCAAAAATCGCAAAAATGCCTGAAAATTGCAAAAATCGCAAAAAATCATGAAATTGCAAAAAACCGCAAAAATGCCTGAAAATTGTAAAAAATCGCAAAAAATCATGAAAATTGCAAAAATCGCAAAAATTCCTGAAAATTGCAAAATTCGCAAAAATGCCTGAAAATTGCAAAAATCGCAAAAATTCCTGAAAATTGCAAAAATCGCAAAAATTCCTGAAAATTGCAAAAATCGCAAAAATTCCTGAAAATTGCATAAATCGCAAAAAATCATGAAAATTGCAAAATTGCAAAAATTCCTGAAAATTGAAAAAATCGCAAAAATTCCTGAAAATTGCAAAAATCGCAAAAATTCCTGAAAATTGCAAAAATCGCAAAAATTCCTGAAAATTGCAAAAATCGCAAAAATTCCTGGAAATTGCAAAAATCGCAAGAATTCCTGAAAATTGCAAAAATGCCTGAAAATTGCAAAAATTCCTGAAAATTGCAAAAATCGCAAAAATTCCTGAAAATTGCAAAAATTCCTGAAAGTTGCAAAAATCGCAAAAATGCCTGAAAATTGCAAAAATCGCAAAAATTCCTGAAAATTGCAAAAATCGAAAA